AAAAACTTACTTCAAATAGGAAAATAATTCACGCAGTATTAGTAAAAATTATTACCGATTTGGCTTTGGAAAACGACCGCAGTTGAACGATAAGGTGTGCCGTTATAGCAATGAAATCGGGCTAAAGCTTTGATTGTTACCGCCACGGCCTTCGGAGTATTTTGCGCTCAGGCAAAGGTCAATAAATTCCATCTTACGTTTTAAGACAAGTATAAGTAGTAAACTAAAACTATATTTGACGATTATCATCCCTAAAGTTTTGCAAGCACTGTTACCAAAATGCGTTCAAAGTTTGTTCCGCAACGATGGCGCGACGCGTAAAAGTGCATTTCTTTGTGTTGGTTTGCTTTGTACTACTATGTGTTAATTGTGTTTGTCCAATCATGATTTAATGTTTTTTGTATTGTGAATCAGCCAGGCAAAAAGTAATCCCAGATTTAACCGCAGAATTGTACACCGTAACTGTGTAAGTGAAACGTGGCTCCTGCCCCTGTAGAGTTTCAGCAAACCCGATTCAAAGTTATTTTAGTTTTTTTTTCTGTGTAAATCATGCTAATTCCTCTCCAGAATACAGTGCGAAGCTGAATCTTGCACATTTGATCAACTTGGTTGTCGGGGAATAAAAGTTCCGCCACTCATCGAGTAAAATGCGACGGCAAACAAAAGCACAAAACTACGTTAAACTACGAAGGTTGCTTTCCAAAAAAAAATGTTTCGAAAGTCGGAGGCTGGTATATATACATACATATACATATATATGTATACATATGTATATATACATGTATATATATGTATATATATGTATGTGTATATATGTATATATATGTATGTGTATGTATGTATGTATGTATGTATGTATGTGTGTGTGTGTGTGTGTGTGTGTATGTGTGTGTGTGTGTGTGTGTGTGTGTGTGTGTGTGTGTGTGTGTGTGTGTGTGTGTGTACGTGTGCATGTGCATGTGCGTGTGCGTGTGTGAGATTAATGATAACTGCTTCTGATGACCCTTTCACACATACACGCACACACCTTGCTCACAAGAATTCCCTTGTCATATTGAAACCTCTACAGCTGCTAAATGAACAATCGCACGAGTCGGATGAATTCTCACAACATGGACATCGACGACCGTTTATTCCCGAAAATATCAACGCCCGCCGTGAAACTATCGCCAAATCAGAATTACTGTAGTTTAAGGGACTCCAACAGCGTGTTCGCTCGGCAAAGCGTTCACAGAACCTGCTGAAAGGCCTAGATAAAATTAACGTTGTATTCCAGTCCTCTATATTTCTGGGAGAGATACATGACGGTTCCCATGAGTTATCTACATTATGTCGGATTTACTGTACCATCATTTAGTGAAATATAAGCTGTGCAAGTTGTATCATAGGGTGTTTAAGCTTCACAGGGTAAGCCTCCGTTATTCTGACACCGACGCTATATCCTCGCCGTGGAAACAGATGATATCTCAATGTAAAAACTTTTTTTTTCTTTTTTTTATGAAAGAGTTGCTAGACACCTCCAACTTTAGCCAGGACTACCCGCTGTGCAGTCAGAAAAAAAACTATCGTTACCTTTATTTGTGTTCAATGAGGAACTGAACACTTCTGTCTAACACCTAATTACGGTAACTAATTAGGGTAACTACCTCGCCTCGCTTTTCCACACCACTTCGTCGATTTTTCAGATTTGTGCAAAGGATAACGAAACTTATTTATCTGACTGTGCAATCAATCCGCTAGGGAGAAGCTCGGACTATTAAAATCTCAGACGGGGTAAATTCCCATCAAAGAGGTTATATGTCTGAAATCCAATACATAGTCCTTGCTCCTGAACGGCGATCAGGCATCTTCAGATACAAAGGGAATTTGTAAATCAGAAAAGAGAAAGCTCAAATGAACAAAAAAACGTACAGACTTATGCACACTTACAAACGTACGCACTTATAGGCGTACACACTTATGACCATCACTAATGTTAACGGCCAAATGACAACCACAAAATCAAGGAAAAATGGACTGTTATAATAAGTTGAAAAGCGTTGGTATTTAAACATTTACAATCACTAGCGTACAGGACACCTCGACACTATATATCTGTCAAAAGCGACGTAGAGTAAGGAGGAGGAAGAGGGATATGAGCAGAAGGTAGTTATGATGATGATGATGAGGGTGATGGTGGTGATGATGATGATGATGATAGGTGGTGATGGTGATGATGACGGTGGTGATGATGATGGTGATGTTGGTGAATATGATGATGATGGTGATTATGATGATGCTGGCGATGGTAATCAGCTACATTGATCACCATCAAGTGAAACGTGACCTACTGCCCCCGCTCTCCGTCCCTCGGAGAGAAGGCGGGCAGGCAAGGGTCTCACCTGCAGAAGGCTAGGATAATGGGACTCCCTCAGGGACGCCCTACCGCGATAGTAGCCGTTAGTAGGCGAAAAAAAACGCACGAACCTGTCTTCTGCTTTTAACTGTATAGTGAACTCTTACATTTCTTTTATTTTAGGTTGATTATCCTCAATAAAAATTACGGTTCGCCAACCTTCCACGACAAAATAGACACCAAGGAAAGGATGTCACTCTTATTTTTTTTTCTTTTCTTCACTTTCCAGGGAGCTACCTACCCTTAGCTTCCTAAATTAATATTATTAAGTATCAATATTATTATTCATTCCCTCCTTACACTAAGAAGTCCTTTAGCAATTACATAACCTCTAGAATATTACTAAACTGCCATGCAAGAGTTGAAATCTAATAAGGAAAGACATTATGTGGCGGGATTTGTAAGTGATAATTTAGATAGATGATTGAGAAAGACGAATGAAGGTTTCAACTATTTGTTTGACTAGCTTGGAGAGACGAAGATTGTTTACTTTATTGAATTTTTTCTGCCGCGTCAGGATCTAAGGTCATTAGCGGCGTATAGGCCTGTAAAACATAACGATAGCATGAGGCTTGGAGGTAAAGACCCCACGTAATTTTTATCTGGTTCAGTAAGGCGATGTTTGAAGATTTCCAGAAGGGTCAATGGTCAAAAAAACAAATGTACCGGATATCGGAGATTACACAGCATTATGGTAGAACACTGTGGTGAGGAATATGAGTTAACGATTTGGCAAAGTGGATAAAGAGGGGATGAAGAAGAGAAGGAAAAGGAAAGGAGGAGAAGAAAGACCATGAAAAACTCTGTTGAGGCGAGGGCTGAGGGCCAAGGCAGGAGTGATCCCTACATTGGGCCTTAGTCATCGCCTCCTTACCCCCCCCCTCCACGGCAAAGATCATATTTTCATTTTATGTTATTTGTAATTTGATTGATATTCTTATTGCTTTTTTATTAATAAAGCAAAGTTTCGCATTCCCGCTTCGATTATCCTCTATACTTTTCTTATAAAAATTGAGAGATATGTAAAGGAGCTGTCAGTCTCTCCAGTTTCCGCCATGGAGACAGATAACCAATACATATATACACATTGCAAAAATGCTGCGAAAGTAGTTTTTTCCCAATTATATTTCGCACCCATATAAAAATGTATAGCACCTATAACGTACGATATTCTTCTTTGGATCATGAAGTGGTGCTGGCCAGGTTTTTTTCACCCCCCAAAATGATAAGAATATCATAGCATATTGTGATGATTTTGTTATACAACCCGTTTAAGAATGGGATAAAGATCCTATCGCCATTAGACGTGGCAAATTTAAATACGTTCCGAAATTTAGTATTCTAAGGCAGCGTTGATAGGTTTTCTTTGTGGGGGATAATGTAGAGAATACTGAAGTAGCCTTATTATATTCATTTTCATATAAGTATGGGAATAATTCACTGGCGTACATAACTAGTCTTACTGAATGGATTCACATGATGTACAGTTATGGGATAAAGATTAAGTAAAGGAACCGAAATGATGGTATTGTCTAGCTCAAGCAGAGGCGATATTCGGTAAGGCGGCAGTAAGGAATATGTCAAATGGAAGACAGCTTATCCCATGACTGTTTCAAAGGTCAAGCAACCTCAATGATATCGCGGGGGTTTAGACAGCTTGAACTGATAAATAGACCTGTTTAGAGCAGTGTTAGGGGTGGGGGGGGGGGCGAGGCGGAGCGCGAACGAGGGTGAAGGTCGTTTCCCGAGTAGGAGTGAGGGTCATTTCGTCGACGAGGCTGAAGAAAGCCGTTCGGGGGCTGAGGTCACCCGACCAGCGGGATCGAGGCACCCGTCCCCTGTTCGTCCTGCAACATGTTACCATGACGAAGCGCATGGAACATCACCATTAGCGAGCCTCACAACTAACACGTCTAGCGATGAGGCAAAGAATTCTCCCTCGCATAATGGCCACAAGTACGAAGAGGCCCAGGGCGACGAGGGGGGTGTTGAGTGGGATCTCGTCCCCGTTAACGAAAGATGTTGAGACAGTCTATGTTTCATTGCAGATTATGAGTCCTTTGGACCAGGTGACCAGTTGCGTAAATTTAAACTGGGATATATACCAATAAAATATAGTATCGAGTTCTATGATTGAGATATTTGTTATATAACATTACTTATAGGTGATGAAGAACACCTGTTATTTTCAATACATTCATTTGCCTGATGCACACGTTCATTAAACAGATGTGTTATGAACAATTACTAAATTCATAATTCAATTATTATATTAGCACAAAGGAGAAGAAAATACTTCCCACAATCAATCGGCGATTTAGTAACTATTTTGAAGAGGTCAGCCAGCAGCGATATGCACGGCAAATCAAGCTGACTTCATTGCCCTCAACCACAATGATCACTTACCACAACCATACACTTCCTTATCGGAGAGTGAGAAGACGAATTAACGGATTATTAACATCGTTTGTCGTTATATCTGGTTTATCACATCATATAATTGACTTATTGAAAAGTGAGGAGGTGTTTTTCCCACTATGTGGGCCCGTGTCTCCCTGTATGTGTCTAAAAATGCTTGTGTATGTGTGGTGTGTGTAACGATCAT